TTACTCTATAGTGTACATCAGATTTTGCTTGGCTCACACGCTGTGCAATCTGGCTGAGATAGGAGGGGAAGTTCTCCTGGTTTAATTGCTATGGCAACAAAAGTTGAAAGAAATCTTAAGTATCCTTTGGTCCAGTCCTTTTCATTTTACAAAATAAGGAACTTGAGAGGGAACCAAGATACTGAGTGATTTACTTAAGGTCACAAGATTATCTGAGCAACCAACCCTGTCTTTAGATTCTCTGCTCCCTCATTCCAAAGAAATTGGAATCTCATCAATTATCCTGGCTGTCAAACTGGCTTTGGAAAGGAGATATAGAAGCTCTGCCAACAGAAAAACACAAAAGAAATCATAAGTCAGCAGATAAAAACCTAGTTACTTTTAAAACACTAAAACGAACTGCCAAGTGTAGGAAGAAACAGGAAAAAATACATCAAGAAAACACAAAGGACCTTTCATGTTGTCTGGTATTTTTTTTTAAAGATTTTATTTATTTATTCATGAGAGACGGTGAGAGAGGAAGGCAGAGGGAGAGGCAGGCTCCCCATGGAGCAGGGAGCCCAATGTAGGACTTGATCCCAGGACCCCAGGATTATGACTCGAGCGGAAGACACTCAACCACTGAGCCACCCAGGTGCCCCCATGTTGTCTAGTATTGACTGTTTTTTAGAGGACACAATTTGAAACAAAGATTCTGTGATTAAGTCACTCACAAGTGCCATAAATTAGTGACTACTGCTGTATATATTAACTGTAATATCATGCTGTTAAGTAACAAAATAGTTGATATATTTGATTACCAGCTTCTAACAAGATAATTGCAAAGCTTTTTATATATTTATTTTCTTCCACGTATAAACAAAGAATATGAGGAACACTATCAGTGGTTCTCAAATGTGTTCTGTAATCTTAGGAGTGAGAATATGCAGAGGGGTCCTTCAGACCATTTCAAGTCATCTATGAGGTTAAAAGTACTTCCTGATAATACTATGATGTTTACTTTTTTCACTTGGTCGACATTTGTACTGATGGTAAGAAGCGATGGTAGATGAAATTGCTGTCTCCTTACAACATGTCAAGGCACTCAACTGTCTTAGCAGTTGTCATATTCTTCGCCACTCACTCATGCTAAAAATGTCAATTTCCCCTTCATGAAATAGTAAAATAATTAATTTTATTAAATCTCAATCACTGAATGGATATGTGGGGCAAAGTACGCATAAAGTACTTCTGCTTTATACTTTTATACTTGAGCACAAGGCTGTCCAGAAGATTTGGCTGCCCAAACCAAAAGCACTTGTGTGATTAAATTGTGAGCTGAAATTGGTGCTTTTCTCATGGAACACTATTTGTACTTGAAAAGATGAGTAACAAACTATGATTGATCAGACTAAAGTATTCAGCACAAATTCTCCCAGAAATGAAATAAAGTGAGCCTGTCATTTCAAGGAACTGCTACTATTTGTTATCAAGGATAAAACTTCAGCTTTCAAATGAAAACTAGAATTTTGAAAAATTGTACCTGCCATCACGAGCTTGCCAGCTTCCTAATACTTCATGACATTTATGATAGGATGGATGATGATATTAATGAATATGATTTGATACTGAATAATGTAACATGTCAACATTAGGAAGATCTGTATAACACAGTGTACTGCTATTTTCCAAGTAACCAATGTTTGACATTAGAAAATCATGCATGGGTAAAATATCCATTTAAAATCTACGCTAGAAAAAAAAAATCTAAGCTAGACACATGGATTTTAACATTAACAGAATAAGAAAAGTACATTGATAATTTCATATCCGGCATTGCAACTACCCTTAAAAAAAAACTATTACCTGTGAAACTTTGATATGATATCCAAGCATATCCATGATTATTTTTAAGCTGTTAAGTACTCCTATTTGAGTGAGTACATGAGTGAAGGTGGGATTTTCTTTCTCTTCTTAAAGCAAAACAGTGTAACATATAAAATGCAGAAGCAGATGTAAGAATCCAGCTATTTTCTATTAAGTCACACATCTGTTTTACATAAATGTAAAACAAGGCCACTCCTACGATGGTTGTTATAAAAAACAAAAACAGAAATCAAATGTTGGTGAAGAAGATGGAACTCCTGTTCACTCCTGATAGGAAAATAAAATGGTACAGGTGCTGTGGGAAACATAGCGGTTCTTCAAAAAAATTAAATACAAATTTACCATAGGGGCCCACTAATTCTAAGTATACATGCTAAAGAACTGAAAGGAGAGACTCAAATAGGTATGTGCACATCCCGTGATCACAGCAGGATTATTCAAAATAGCCAAAAGATGGAAACAAGCCAAATGACCATGGACAGGTGAATAAATATGTGGTATTTTGATACAGTGGAATATTATTCAGCCATAAAAAGGATATTCTGACCTAAGTTATAATGTGGATGAACCTTAAAAACATGCTAACTCAAATAAGCCAGTCACAAAAGAACAAATACTATATGATTCCCCTTGTAGGAGGTACCTAAAGTAGTCAATATCATAAAAATAGAAGGAGTAGTGGTTACCATGAATTGCAAAGAACTTAGTTACTGTTTAATGACTAGAGTGTTTCACTTTGGGACTATGAAAAAGATCTAGAGATGGATAATGGTAATAGTTGTGCAACAATGTGAATATTCTTAATGTCACTGAATTGTGCACTTAAAAATTGTGCACTTGAGGGGATCCCTGGGCGGCTCAGTGGTTTTGCACCTGCCTTTGGCCCAGGGTGTGATCCTGGAGATCTGGGATCAAGTCCCGCATCAGGCTCCCTGCATGGAGCCTGCTTCTCCCTCTGCCTGTGTCTCTGCCTCTCTCTCTCTCTCTCTGTGCCTTTCATGAATAAATAAAATCTTAAAAAAAAAATTGTGCACTTGAAATGGCCAAGTGTCATATTTTGTATATTTTACAACCATAAACAAATTAAGGAAAAAGAAAAACCCAAACTACAAGGTCACTTTCTTACTGATTTTTTTGGAGGCGTTTTGGAAAGGTTATTTTTTCATGAAAAAATGTTATTTGTGCAGGTAATGAATTTATCACTTAAAAAAACCCCTAATAAATACTTTAAAAATCCCTTAGTTTTCATTTCTAATCTGATAAATATGGATAGTTATAACTGACATAAACAGCTTTTAGGTCCTCGGTAATTTCTGCAAGGTAAAGGGGTCCTTTCTCAAACTAAAAAGTTTGAGAACCACTGTCTTATACAGAATCTATTCTCTTCTCACACCTGCCTTATGGGAGTATCTTCATTTGTACCTTCAGCTGCAACTGGAAGCCGTATCACTCGCAGCCTGCAGACTAAAAGGACAATGTGAAATATGATAAAAATCATCACATTGATTCTTTATGATTACTACTATCCTTTGGATGCACCCTAACCTAAGGACCGAACAACGCAAAGCTCCACACAGATGAGTTGCCTTACACAATAGAAAACTGTCAAAAAGCTTAAATGCTGGGCCTTTTCCAAAGTAGTTTTGTAAGCATCTAGCAAGAAATACACATTTCCTTTCTTCTATTGGATCTACGTTAGGATTTACAGTTTAAGGCTGGATTTTGGGATGCGGGGTGGGAGAGGCATTGTTTCCTGGAAACCACTCCATCTAGTGCATCCGTGCAAAGAATTTAATTCTCTCACCATCTTGCTACTGGTCTTTTGCAGAGAGGTGCGGCTTGGGAGCTAGGAAGCAATCCAAAACAGCAGCTGAGGCTGCCCCAAACCGCGTCCAACCGATAATTTCCTCCATTTTGGGCCAAGTCAATTTGCCCCGGGCGAGAGGCCGAATGTTTTTATGGGGAAGAGGTAAATAAAAAGGAAATTAGGAAGCACGGACGGAGATGAGCAGCGAAAGCAGAGCGGCGGCACGCAGACCGCGGTCAACGAGCCGTGCGCTAGCGACGCGCGAGGGGCGAGGGGCGAACTGGAGGCGCAGTTCCGGAGCCCACAGCTGCGCGCACGTTCACGGGGAGGTCGGCGGGTCGGGGCGGGTCGGGGCGGGGCGGGCGCGGGGGTGGGGGGAGCCAAAGGATTTTCTTCTCCGCACCCTCCTTCCGCGATCATTCTGGGCCGGCCTGTGTGCAGCCGCAGCCCCAAACAAAGGGGAACGGATGCCCTCCCGAGGGAGCGGAGGGGGCAAGGTGGCCCCGAGGGCCCGCGACAGGTGTCGCTCAGGGTAGGGCGCGGGCCGCGGGGACCGAGGGTCCGCGGGGACGTGCGACCGGCGCGCCCCGGGGAGGCCGAGCACCACGCCCGGCCCCGCGGTCTGCGCGAGCCCGCGCGCGGGAGGTACCTGTGGAGGCCTCGCACAGCCGGAAGGCACCGGGCGATCATGGGACGGCCGAGAGGCGGCGGCGGCGGCGGCGGCGGCGGGGAGGCGGGAGGCGGGGCGCCGGGCAGCCGGAAGGCGGCCCCGGGAGGCAGGCGGCGGCGGCAGCGGCGGCGGCGGCCGGGTCCGCGCCCTCCCACGTGCGGCAGCCCCACGCCGGCGCCCACTTCGGCCCCGCCCCGCGCCCCGCCCACTTCGGCATAGCGCCCCGCCCACCCAGGCCCCGCCCCGCGCGCCTGGCACCGCCCCGGGGCCAGTTCCCGCGAGAGCCCGGGGCCCCGAGCAGAGTGCGCAGCCGGGGGCGTGAGGGGCGGCGGCGGCGTCGGCGGGGGCGCGTCGTCCTCCGGTGCGGGTCGGGGAGGCGGGGCGCCGGGGAGCCGAGAGGCGGCAGCCCCGCGAGGCAGGCGGCGGCGGCGGTCGGGTCCGCGCCCTCTCACAAGCGGCAGCCCCACGCCGGCGCCCTCGTCGGCCCCGCCCCATGCCCCGTGCCCCGCCCCCTCCGACCCCGCCCCATTAAGGCCCCGCCCCTCCGGCCCAGGCCCCGCCCCCGTTTCGGGCCCCGCCCACCCGGGCCCCGCCCCGCGCGCCTGGCACCGCCCCCGGGCCGGTTCGGGCGAGAGCCGGGGGCCGCGGGCGGAGCGCGCAGCCGGGGGGGCGGGGGGCGCTGAGGGGTTGGCGGCGGCGGCGGCGGCGGCCTCGGAGCCGGGGAAGTTTGGGCGGCCGCGGGCCGTGCTGCGCTCGGGAGCCGGGCTGAAGCCGGAGGACCAGGGGGCGCGCGAACCGGCCTCCGGACATCCCCCGGGCCCGCTGCCACCGTCTCGCGTCCTCGCCTGGTAAGGGGCTGCGGGCTGGGCTGGGCGTCCCCCCCCCCCCCCGGGGCCTGCACCGCCCCGCCGCACCCGCCTGGGCCACGGCGGGCCTGGGGCCTGGAGGGAGGGAGCCGGAGCTCGCTGTGCCCGGGGAGGAGGCCGGGGAGAGGCCTGCGGGAGGGGGCTCGTCCCCCGCCCCCCGGCCCCCGGCCCCCGCCGTGCGGTTTTCACCTTCTGTCCTGGGGCCTTATTTTTAGTGCTTGCAGCCCCGTGGCCTGGAGACTGCGCTCGCCTTGGAAATAAGCGCAGAAATAATAAACACGCTGGCGGCGGGTACCACACCCTGGCTGTGGCTTAGGGAGCCCGGAGAGCAGATGGATGATGCGATTGAGTGCAAATGAGCCGCCGGTGCCGCCTGGCCCTGCGCCACAGCTCGGAGGCGGTAGTATCCGAGTGAATGAACCTGCCCCGGAGCTTGCAGCTCGTCCCCGGGAGCTCGGCTGCTGCGGAGAGCGCCGCTCGGCGTGTAGCATCCTCCGACCCAGGCCACGACCTCAGGTCTCCATCCAACAGAAATGCCGTTTTTTATTAAGAATGACACTCGGTGGTTGAACACCTTCTCATTATTAAATACGTTTTCTCCTCCCGTGACAGTCTAAGCCTGCAAAAGTTGGTGCAGGGTAAATTTATACCTACATTTAAAAACAAAAAGAAGAATCTTATGAAACAGAGGAAGATGCTGGTTGTCGATCAGCTTCTGAGTCAGCAGTATGAAAATCTCCCTCCACTGAGTCCTGAGGCCTTTGGGGGATTTCTACATCTGTAGCTAGACCCCCACCCCCACCCCGTCCTGATCTCTATTTGTACTATGCCAACTGTTAGGGTAGCCGGGACAGTGAGAGCCTAAGCTTGTGTTCTACATGTTTTGAGAAAAATTTTACTTTGGCAAGTTCTGACATAATCTAACACTGCTGGGTGTAGGTGAGAATATGTATTTCGTTACGTATTTTTGTCCTCCTGACTCTTTAAAAAGAAGAACGAAGGTCATACAGGGTTTTTCTTTTTTCTTTTTTTTTCTTTTCTTCTGATGTGATTTATGACCTTGTTATTTATAACCTTTCCTGGCTGATTCTTGAAGGAGTGTTTTCCTTTCTTTTATCAGGGAAAAAGTGTTTAAGCTTTTAAAATGTCATCTATCAAGCACTTAGTTTATGCAGTTATTCGTTTCTTGCGGGAACAAAGTCAGATGGATGCTTATACTTCAGATGAACAAGAAAGTTTGGAAGGTAGGCACCTGCTCTTTATGTCCATTTGTGTTATAATAATAAGCCAAGACTACAATAGCTGTAAGCCTGACTTTATGATCTATTATATTTTTTTATTTATTAAAGATTATTTATTCATGAGAGACACAGAGAGAGAGGTAGAGACACAGGCAGAGGGAGAAGCAGGCTCCATGCAGGGAGCCCGACGTGGGACTCGATCCTGGGTCTCCAGGATCACGTCCTGGGCTGAAGGCAGCAGGGGCTAAACCCCTGAGCCACCCAGGCTGCCCACTTTATGATTATAACAAAATCAAAATATTTTATTGACAATTCAAGAAGAAAGATTGTGTTTCCATTTTCCGAGGCTTGTTTTCATTAACAACAGAATAAGAGGACAATCATTCATTTATTGAACAACTGTAAGGTGTCAGAACTATGCTGATCATACAAAATCATAGGGATTTTTTTTTCTTAACAGTTAACGGTAACTGTTAAGTTAGTATTATCCTCATTTAACAGATAATGAATGAAACCAGATAGATTAAGTAACGTAACAACAACGACATAATGTGGCAAAGCTGAGATTTAAATCCCGGCTTTTACTCTGAACGTCTTGTCTCTTCCTAATAGAAAAGCATCCCGTTTAGAATCAATATATGAAAATACCTTAGTCATCATAAAAGCACTATGTAAAGTGTAATAATTACATCACAATTAAGCTATGACAACTTTCTATTCCGGGATTTGAAAATGGGAGGATTTCACTGGTGTTCTGCGTGAGCTTTAAATATTAGATTTGGTAATCTGTTAAATTGAGCTGGACTTGGATGACAGCATCACGTGTTTCTTTGAACACCATCTTTTCTGCTTCACGTTTATGCATTATAATATTTAAATCCAGTATAAGCATAACAGGATACAATGCTGCAGATGGGCTTGGGGAGGTTCAATGAGCGTAGCTTCTTTGTGCCCTGAAGACTTAATTATTGCAATGAGAATTTCATTCACGCACTCCTACACTTAGGAGAATTTAATGAGTTATAATACAATTTGATTTTGCCATCTAGAGGCTGTTTCTCCTATGAAGGGGATACATCTATTAATTTCAATAAGCACTTCCATTGTGAATATGCTTTTAAGAGGTGGGGATGAAAACTGGACATTTGCTCTAAATCTGCTTGCAATCTGGTGAGACGCTGTCTTTCCAGGTGGCAGTGAGAGGAGCAGGTGACACACAGTTGGAGAACATTGCAGTCGGTTCATTTCATATTAAGGTTCTTTTTGTCCTCCTTGGTGGTTAGACTATGTGAAGATAAATTTAAAGAAAATATTGGTTATGGTTGCTCAGTAGCAGACAGATAAATGCAGTCATTTAATAAAAGATGTTTCTTCTCCAATCAAACGCAGTATAATACTTCTAAAGGCCAGAAAGAAAATTGAGTTTTTTAAAAAATCAAGATGTTATGTCCTATTTTTAGGATAGTCTTCAGCCAAAAATATGTGCCTTCAGCTGTTTGTTATATATGGAAGTCAGAAATGGTGCCAATTGTTTTTGACCGACCCCTATTTTTGACTCTGTGAGTCTAATTTAATTGAGTATGAAATCATGTGGGGGAAGTCTGCCCACCTTCTAGACATTTAAAAAAGCCCTGGAAAAGGAGCCTAAGTTCTAATACCAGCCTTCCCATAGCAGTAAGGTCTTATAGTCTTATCAGCTTTGAGCTTTTGCATCATATTATGTCACCCACTCCTAATTGTTGTCATCTACTGACATCTGTTTCATGTGGCTTCTGCTCCCTGTCACTCTCTCCAGTACTACTCTATCTTATTCTTGGCAGTTGCAACGACCTCATAGATGTTTCTTTCATTTTTTTCAGCACTCTGTTCCTTGACCTTCTGTCCTCCAGTGATCTCAACCACTCAGCTGCATGGTCATACCCTAGACTAGTGGTTCTCAACGTAGGGTGATTTTGCAATGTCTGGAGATATTTTTTTTTTTTTTTGATTGTCACTACTAAGGGGCTGGTATTACTGGCACCTAGTGGGTAGAGGCCATGGATTCTGCTAAACATACTATAATACACAGGATGGCCCCCAAGAACAAAATCCAAAATGTCAGTAGTGCCAAGGGTGAGAAACTCTTCCCTGGACCTTATCCTTACTAAAATTGCATTCCCTCCATAATGTCTATTGTAGACATTTCACTTCCTGACCGGTACTGCCTGTCTTTCCAGGTCGCTCCCTCTAGAATCCCTACCCCAACTATTCTTTGACCCTATGAATACCCCCAGTCTGTTGATCCCATACCTTTTACACCCCTCTTCTTACCTTTCTTAGATTCCATGATTATTATATATTATTATTTTATATTATATATTATATATATCATATATAATATTATGTATTATATATATCAGAGATATACCCTTGTATATCTCTCCCTTTCTTGCAAAACCCAGCCTCATGTAAATTCAGCTTTCCACCAACTCTGTGCTCATATCCATGTGACTATGTATAAACGGAGCAAAACATAAAACTTTGTTGAATGGTCCCACTTTGAATTCATGACCATGAGCCTCAGGTGGACCTTTAACGCTGTCTGGCAATCACACTATCTCTTCCAAGTTCATTCATACTTTTGCTTTCCTAGGCCACTACTTTAGCACTTTCTGGTCTCTCCTCAAACCCTCAAACCTCCTCTCCTGTACTCACTTTTAATTGATGACCGTGCTTCCTACTCTACCAAGAAAATTAAAGTAATAAGAAAATAACTTCCACAGACATCCCCTGCCCCATCTATCCACACACCAACATCTACACCCCCCACCAACACTCTGCCTGCCTGCCTGTTACCATATGCCATGGACTAAATATTTATGTTTTCTCAAAATTCATATGTTGAAACCTAATGCCCAGTGTGATATTAGGAGGTGGGGCCTTCATGATTGGGATTAGTGCTCTTATGAGAGACCCCAGAGAGTTCCTTTGCTCCTTCTACCATGTAAGGACGCAGCAAAGAGACACCATCTCTGAACCAGAAAGCAGGTTATCACTAGACACTAAATTTGCTGGTGCCTTAATATTGAACTCTCCAGCCTCGAGAACTATGAGAAATAAATTTCTTTTGTTTAGAAGTCACCTCGACTATGATGTTTTGTTAGAATGGCACAAATAGACTAAGATACTGTAGATGAACTATCCATCGACTTTTCTAAATGAAACCTCTCTGCTGGCACACTGGATCTCATTCCATCCTGTCTCGCCTACTCTGGGATGTCATTCTAGTTACTCTACCCTTCTTCTCTTACATCAGCAAGTTTTCACTCTGTACTGGATTATTTTTATCAGGATAGATGTTTCATTATTTTTCCAGGATAGATTTTTGATTATTTTTCCCTTCTTAAAAAAAAAAAAAAAAAGCAAAAACCGCTTATTACTCTTGCTGTGTTACTCCCTGCTTCTAAACTTCTGCCTCCTTCTATTGTCTTCCCCTTTTGCTGGAAAACTCTTTGAAAGAATTGTGTGTATTTGTTTTTTAAAGTTTCTCTTCTATTCCTTTTTAAACCCCCTATTCCAGTTAGGCTTTTGCCTCAGTCTCTTTCCACTCGTACTATTCTCATTAAGGTCATCAAGGATTTCTGGTAATTTAGTTAAGTGGTCAGTTCTCAGTCTCCATCTGTCTTATTAGCTGCCATTGATAATGTTGATAATCTCCCTAGTCTTTCCCCCAACCTCCCTCCACCTCACCCCTCTCCCCTCCTGCCACTGCTCTATACTTGATTTACTTGGCTTCCAGGATACCTCCTCACACTCTTAGTTTTCTTCTTCTCTCATGGCTTGTTCCTTCTGTCTCCTTTACTACCTTTTCTTCTTTTCTCTGACTTGGAGTGCCCCGGGTCCAGTGCTTGATCTTCTTTTCATTATCTGTACTTACTTTTTTGATGGTATCATTCAGTTTCTTGGCCTTCAGCCAAGACCTTCCTTCCGAACTGCAGATTTTTATATCCAACTGCCTACTAGATATCTCCACTTCTATGTCTAATAAGCATCTCACTGAACATTTCCAAGACTGAACTCCTGATCCTCCCACCCAAAATCTGTTCCCTATCTCAGTTGATGGCAACTCTATCTTTTCACTTGCATAGGCCCAAAACTTGGACATCATTCTGGACTCTTCTCTTTCTCTCAGACTTTGCATTTAATCATTAAATGATTAAATCCTGTTGGCTGTGCCTTCAACATATATATCTAGAGTCTTACCATGTCCTCCCACCTTCACCGATGTCACCCCTGGGTAGAATTAAGTATTTCTCCTCTGTTTTAATGTAGTAGCCTCTTACAGGTCTGTCTGCTTCTGTTCTTGCAGCTTTGTTGAATATTCCTAACACAGCCACCAGTGACCTTTTCAAACAGAGTATGTCAGGGGTGCCTAGCTGGCTCAGTCAGTGGAACATGCAACTCTTGATCTTGGGGTTTTAAGTTTGAGCCCCACATTGGGTTATAGAGATTACTTAAAAATAAAATCTTTGAAAAAATTAACAAAAAAATAAAACAGAGTATGTCAGATTCTATCATTATTCTACTCAAAATCTTGCCGTGACTCCTCATGTTACTTAGTCATTGTTTAAAGGATTTATATAATTTGGACTTCAGCGATGTGTTGTTCACAGACGCTTCCCCTTTCTCATTTGGCTATAACCAAATTAGCTTCCTAACTCTGAATACACTATATCCTCTTTCCTAAGGGCTTTGGCTGTAGTTTTTTTTCTGCATAGATTGTTATTTCTCTATATAATAGTAATACCCCCATCTTCTTTGAGTCTTTGTCAAATCTCTTTTCTGAATGAGACCTACGCTGGGCACTCATATCTGCAGCCTGCTTCCCTGCTCTACTCTCCATACTTACATCTCTTTGCCCTGCTGTACTCTTTACTGCTTATAGCCTACCTCTCCACCCCTACCCCCAAGAAGTCAGGGATCTTTTCTGTTTTAGTCACTGATTTATCTAAAGCATGTAGAAAAGTGCCTGACACATAGTAGGTGCTCAATAAATATTTGTTGAATCGGGTTGATGAATTGAGTCAAGTGATCGTGGGCATATCACTTAGTTGATCGTAGCTTAATTTCTAAGGCTGTTAGGTGAAGCCTCTGACTCTTCTCCATCTGATAGATTTGTCAAGAGGATCAGAATCAGTGATGACAGGTACCTGGCATATGGGAGCTTTTGAATAAAGTGGTACATGGGATATCATAGTGTTGAATAGAAGTCTTCACTTGCCCTGCTCCTCATTAGTACCAAACATTAGCACTGTTATTATTTGTGGTTAAAGGGGAACAAGAATTATATAGTGTACTTGTTTATATTTGTAGGACTTATTCCTGAGTGAGGAATTTGTATTACTTATTCCTGAAAGAAGGCTCGAATTTGTTTTATAAATGAGAATCTTGAGGTAAAAGTAAGAGAAATTATTGTAACTAGGTTATTTGATTTTTTTTTTTTTTTGGTTGGATGAAAAACGATAACGAAATAGTCCTGAGTTCTTGTCATGCTACCCACCCCGCCACTTACTGCCTACTCTTTTTGCCTGTTTCTTTTGCTGGAAAACTCTTTGAAAGAGCTATCTATACTGCTCTTTTCTAATTCCTCTCCTTCTATTCTTTCTTGGACCCATTCCAGGTAGGTCTTTGCCTCAATCTCTCACCCACACTATTATCATCAAGGCCATCAACATTTTGGCTACTGGGTTTACTTATCAGACAATTCTTTTTACTTGTGTAGGGAATCTAAAATAGTCAAACTCACAGAATGATGGTTGCCAGCAGCTATGAAAGAGCAAATAGGGAGGTGATGGTCAAAGGAATTAAGTTCTGGGGACTGACTGGTCTGCCCAGTGCCTATCATTAATTATGTTATATACTTAAAGTTGGGTAAGAAGGTAGACCTTAGGTTAAAGTGTTCTTACTACACACGTACACATGATAATAAAGGTGGTGAGAGGAAGCTTTGGGAGATGATGAGTATGTCTCTGGCATTGACGGTGGAGATGATTTCATGGGTGTATGCTTATCTCCAAACTCATGGAGTTATGGACATTAACTATGAACAGCTTTTTATATGTCAACCATACTTCAGTAAAGTGGTTTGAAAAAACACACACTAAATAATTGTGTTTAAAACAAAACAGCCACCTCCTTTAATGATATTTAATTCCATCTAATATGTACTAGGTCTGTGTTTTAAGGTGAATGGCAGAGGAAATAAGGGAGATGGACTGAATTGCTTCAACAGGATAGGGCATAAAAATCCCTCAGTTACCACATGGACTGTTCACCTGTCCGTGTTGCGCAGTAAAGTTACATACTCTGGGTTTTGGTTAAGGACTTGGTTGTGTACTATCCCTCTTTCCCATGGTTGTGCATTAATGTTTTGGTGGAGAAGAGTGCTTTTCTTCAAAGGGTTTATTGTTATTTTTTTTCTGTAATTAAACTATGACTTCCATTGTAAATGAAGACATAGATTAAATTTATTGAACACCTATTATTTGCCAGATTTGCTAAAGTCATAGATGAGTAAGATGCAGTCTTTATCCTCAGAGGCAGTCTAATGTGGGAGACATTTAAATGCATGGAATATAGTATGATAAGTTCAATAATAGAAACCTGTACCAGCGACATGGCACAGTAAAGGCAGTGACCAGTCTGATCAGGAAGGGAAGATACTGATCAGAATAAGTATATACATATAAACACATACATACATTTGCCATTATTACTATTGTTGTTGTTCCCATTGACTGTCTTCATGGCAGTGGGAGTCTATTTTCTTGTGGCCCAATGTTTATAGTGCTGGTATAACTGAAGTGCCGGAACAAGTGCTTGGCAAGAATAGACATTGAAAGGGGTACTTGGGTGGCTCAGTTGGTTAGGCATCTGCCTTCAGCTCAGGTCATGATCCCAGGGTCCTGGGGTCGAGCCCCACATCGGGCTCCCTGATCAACTGGGCACCTGCTTCTCCCTCTCCCTCTGCCTGCCGCTCCCCCTGCTTATCCTCTCTCTCTGTCAAATAAATACGTAAAGTCTTTTTTTTTTAAAAAAAAAAAAGAATAGAAATTGAGAGAATGAGGAATGGGTAAATAGTAGATTATATTCTATGTAAAAGATCCTCTGACTTCTTCTTGCAATTGGTAACTTAGTTGCTTATTCAGTCCCTTTTCTAAGGAGAATTGTTTGCTGGTTAGTGAAAGTAATAGTATTTCTTTTATGGCAGAGGTATTTTTCTCAGGACCACTGAAGGATCGCTCTTATATATGGAAGCTAATAAATGAACAAACCAAGCACGTGGGTACAGAGAAGAAATTGGTGGCTGTCAGAGGTAGAGAGTAGGGTGAGAGAAATGGGTGAAGCGTTTTTGTTTAGTTTTTAGTTTCGGTATATTGAATACAAATAAAGTCATACGCAAATGGAAGTGAACCTGCTGTATACACTGTCTGGGAGTACACTGGACACTTGGCTACATTCTCATCTTGTGGAGCCGGGAGAGAATTCCTCCTCAAAGGAGAGCATCCTGAGGACGGGAATCCGTGTCCATTCCCGTCCAGGAGTACTTGTAGAAACGACAGGCTATCTTTCTTTCCCATAATTGCCCTGGTTTGAGCCCATTGTTTGTTTAGATCATTTAAGTAGGAACCCTCCGTGGTCAGAGTGGTGGTTTCCTCCACTCTTGTCATGTAGCTGGTGTGTGTTTCTGTCATTGAACTTACTATACTGTATTCCATGCGGTTGGATGTCTGTCTCTGTGAGGATGAGGCCTGTATCTTATTCCCTGTCTAATCCATTCTCAGCATTCCTACCACACTTCTGGTTCTAAACACAAATCCAGGTATGTTCTTCTCCTTCACTGAATTCTTTAATGGCTCTCCATTTGCCCTTAGTGTGACGTGAGGTGCCTTGTCATCCAACAGCAGCGACTTGCTCTCTAGCATGGTCTCCCACCATGTTTTTCCACCTCGTCCGTCCTCTGGCTGGTTATCTTGCCATACACTGAATGCAGCGCCGTTTAACATGCCATGTATTTTTGGGTTTGTCTGCCTCTTTCTCTTAACATAAGCTTCATCACATGGATAATGAGGCATTAAAGATTTTTGTCTTTAAATTAACTGTTGTATTTCTACCACCTTAGAACAGGACCTTGCACATATGTAGGTGCTTGGGGTAAATTTGCAGGCAATGAATGAATTTTTTTAAAGCCAACCTATCTTCACCTAAGTAAATATACCAGGATTGATATTTAGTGCCTCCCATGAGCCAGAAATTGTGTCTGTTACTATTTTTGGTCAGGTTGAGAGTCTGTTTCTCAGAATTGAAAAAAAAGATTTTTTTTGGTTCGTTTTATTCAAGCCTTTAGAACATTGGTGGCTAATCAGATATTGGCAGAGAGGAATCAGTTGTTGATGACTTGCTTCAATAAGAATATGATGTAATGGATATATTGAGAAATTATATTCTAGGTAATGTTTTTCTTTAAGTAAGGAATAAGAAATCAAGTTGTCTTCCCTCAGCAGCTGGTCTATAAACAGAAATCTCTATGTAGCTGAACCATTTAGTTTTTCCTTATGTTCTGTGATCATAAATACTGAATTACCACAGATTGCACAGAGTGCAGATTTCTACCAAAAATAAAAGGTCGTTCCTTATTTTAGGTTGCTAATTTTTTTTTCACTATTCAAATTTATTTCAAGTTGCAATTCAGTGCTTGGAGACAGTTTTTAAAATCAGCCCAGAAGATACCCATCTAGCAGTTTCACAGCCTCTGACAGAAATGTTCACCAATTCCTTCTGTAAGGTAAGCTGTCACTGTTTTCTCATTAGTATCTGATTTAAGTATGACTACGGTATTACGTTGTTAACATCTGAGGGGCTAGGCCTTTACATAAATAACCTCCTTCTTGAGCATAAGGTCGATAGTCCACATGGAGATGATTTGGGACCTAAAATATAACTTTTAATGTGCTTTAGATTTTCATATTAGTAGCTATGAGCATCCTCTCACCTTCATTCATTCATTCATTCATTCATTCATTCTTTCATTTATGTATTTTAAAGATTTTATTTATTCGTGAGAGACACAGGGAGGCAGAGACACAGGCAGAGGGAGAAAGAGCCTCCATGCAGGAGCCCGACCCCAGGGCTCCAGGATCATGCCCTGGGCTTAAGGCTGTGCTAATCTGCTGAGCCACCTGGGCTGTCCTCACCTTCTTTTATATTTAATGATATATCTTAGTTGCTTTTTAAGTCCTTTCTAATACCTGAGCATTTTTTAGATTTCTGACATGGAATAAAAACATGGAATACAAGTTAAAAATTTTTTTCTGTTTATGAAGCAACTATGTAGAAATACATTCATCAGGAATTTTTTTTTAACTTTTTTTTTAATTTTTTTAAATTTATTTATGATAGTCACACAGAGAGAGAGAGAGAGGCAGAGACACAGGCAGAGGGAGAAGCAGGCTCCATGCACCGGGAGCCCGACGTGGGATTCGATCCCGGGTCTCCAGGATCGCGCCCTGGGCCAAAGGCAGGCGCCAAACCGCTGCGCCACCCAGGGATACCATTCATCAGGAATTGAATCATCATTTGAAGCATATTTAAATTGGGCCATTGATAGGGCTCTTTAAAACAGGGAAGGTTCAAGGTCATTGTGCAAAAGTAATGCCAAACGTCACATTTTCTGATCTGTGCTCTTGAGAACGGTTTACAATAATGGTCTTGGGTTTCTGGCCTTTTCAGAGAATATGGAACATAAATTTGTCTGAAAAAAAAATGTTTTAAAGACAGTTTGCTTGCTTGCTTTTTCTGAGAAACAGCATAAACAGGAAGCAGGGAGGGGTAGAAGGAGAGGAGGAGAGAGAATGTAAGCAGGCTCCATGCCTCCTGTGGAGCCCGATGGGGGCTCAATCTCACAACCCTGAGATCATGACCTGAGCCAAAATCAAGAGTCTGACACTTAACTGACAGAGCCACCCAGGCTCCCCTTAACCTGTCTGAAAAATTTTAAGGTTACTGAGTTTAGGGCCCTGGAATGACCTCTGATGTGTTTTGTCATTTCATTTTGGTGCCTCATGAAGTCCTTTTGTTATTCTGCTTCTGTATTCGAGCTTCAATATGGATTGAGGAACTCAGGTGAGAGGCTGAGGCATGTGGTATTTTCTTCATACTGGCAGGGATGTTGCTGAGACTACCACATTGACTGTAGAACTTGTTGGAAGAGGTTCTGAGAGTTGGAATGAAGACGGCAATTTGGCAGTATACTGTTGTCTCTATACTTGGAAAAAAGAATAATGCAGTTATCAGACAGATCAATTCTGATTCAGTGATAAAGCTGTAAGGAGATACTGACATGTCTGTGTGCTCCCCATCACAGGATTCCCCGGTTCTTCTCTTTGGTTGCTGTGGTTTTTTTTGATTGCTGGGCTTCTGGCCTCCTTAGGGAACTCCATTTCAGTGGCTGGATATGCCCCTGTTTGAAGTTAACTTTATTTAACTCATAGATTCCCAAGAGTCCTGTGCTTCAGACAACACTTGGATTTGCTCACTCCTTAGTGTCTGTCACTGTTGACCTCATACTAGAGATCAGAACTCTTTTTTGCCTCTCATGAAGCTCAAGTTGACTCTTGCACTCTGTTTAAATAGGGCTCTGTTTTGGGATGCCTGGGTGGCTCAGTGGTTGAGCATCTGCCTTTGGCTCAGGGCATGATCCGGGGTCCTGAGATCGAGTCCCACATCAGGCTCCCTGCAGGGAGCCTGCTTCTCCCTCTGCCTGTGTCTCTGCCTCTTTTTGTGTCTCTCATGAATAAATAAAGTCTTTTTTTAAAAAAATAGGACTCTTTTCTTTCTCTCTTACTATTTTCCTCTGTATTTAATCATAAAATTTTTTTACTTACTATTTTTAAAATATAATTCCTTGGAACTGGCTCCATTGTGTATCTGCATAGTGTTATTTGTGGTGTCAGTCCTCTGTTACTCCATTTTAACAGCAGCAATTTCATCACATGTGTGTTTGTTAGCAGAGTAACCCAGAGAGTCCAAAACTTGCCTGAATCAGTATCAAGACTTATAATTAAATAAATTGTCTCTATTCAGCCATAAAAAGGAAAGAAATCTTCCCGTTTGTAACAACATAGTTGGAAGTGGAGGGTATTATGCTAAGTGAAATAAGTCATTCAGGGGAAAGATAAATGCCAGATGATTTCACTTATATGTGGAATCTAAGAGGCACACAAACAAGCAAAGGAAAAAAAGAAAAAAAGAGAGATACAAACCCAGAAACAGACTCCTCACTATAGAGAACAAAGGGATGGTTACCAGAGGGAAGGAGGGTGATGTGGTGGGTGAAATAGGTGATGGGGATTAAGGAGTGTGCTTGTGATGAGCGCCAGGTGTTGTATGGAAGTATTGAATTACTGTGTCGTATATCTGAAACAAATATAATACTGAAGTTAACTAACTGGAATTAAAATAAAAACTTAAAGATGACGGGATGAGCACTGGGTGTTATTCTGTATGTTGGTAAATTGAACACCAATAAAAATTAATTTATAAAATTAAAAAAAAATAAAAATAAAAACTTAAGAAAAAAAGAAATTATTTGTCCCACCAAGTGTCCTTGGTTGTTATGTTGGTTGTTTTAGTTTTAGGATACTGTTCTTGTGTTTTTCCTCCCAGTTTATATCCCAGATGGATTCATTCCTTTTATGTAAAGTAGGTGACAATCATCCCCACATTATAGGCTGCTTAAATGTATTCAGTGAATATGAGAATTAGTTTTCAAAGTTGTACAACTGTGGCAATCTCATTAAACTAATTCAGGAGGATTTAAAAGACAGAATGGATTAGAGGTCATTTTTCAATATGCCACTTTTCTGACTCAAAAAGTCACTTTTTCCCCATGCATTAACTGCCCAGGTGAAATAGAAGGAACCCTGACAGCAAGTACCGCAGGGCAGTGTCCTGTGTCCTTGAACTACATATCTATCCTCGGAGACTGTAGTCAGTTTTAAGTAGTGACCTCTAGTTACCAGGATTCCCATTTTGATTTTACACTTTGTTATTCTAATACTTTATGTCTAGAAAAACTGATTAGTAGAGAAGGATTACAAAAAATAAGAACAACTCATATGCTTGATGAATGATTTCATACTTGAGAATATTTGTGTGTAATTAACAAAGTATATTTCCAGTGTTAGAGTTACCAAGTTTCTTAAAACTTTAGTCAAGACAAATAACATGGTGGATATACTCTAAATGTAGTACATAGGTATATTAGCTACAAATTATGTTTTCTTGAAAACTGTAGATGAAAAAAAAACTGTAGACGTATTCATGAACTTCAGAGTCAAGTGTAAAAGCACAGTTTTTAAAAGCTCTTTCAAAACTGGATATGTGCATTGTGTTTCCAGGGCCACTTGAGATACTTCTGCATACACCTTTGGTTTGTACCTTAGGAATGCAAAGGAGGTTTGAGGATGATAGTACGTACTGAAAACAGAAAATGTACATTGTTTTTTATTTTATGATGATATTAATATATATCCATTGTTTTAAAAAATTGATTAACATGGAAAGATTTAAAGAAGAAACTGAAAATTTGATCTCCAAATATTATGGTTAACCTTTTGTGCTAGACCTTTCCTGTCTTTGTTTTTTAGCCTGTGTGCGCATCTGTGTGTGTATGTGTGCACGCACACAAATATTTGAATAATAGGATCATATTATTAATGCTTCTTTTTGTCAGCTGTGAATTTGACTTAGTAGGGTATCTCTTCAGATATTAACATTATATTTCAAGATTTTCACAAGTATATTCCTATTCCTATTCTTTGCATAGGAATATTTAACCAGAATTTAATAGAATTTATTAGGAATTTGAGAAAAACAAAGCTTCCCAACTATAGCTAATATATAATTTGAATAACAAAATATCCTGTTTTATTTTTTAATATGATGAATATATTTTCAGCAGCATGTTCATTTAAAACAGTGAAGCATTTCCATTCACTAAAAATATATTTGTCAATAAAATACATAATAAACTTATAGCATGAATGTAAACTACTCAATTTATCTCCATTACCCATATATAATATGGATTTATTTTATGCTTATACTATTTTAAATATACTGATTATTTATATTTGTTGTGCATGAAGTTGGATTTTTTGATCTAAGAAAAGCAAGTAAAAAATTTTGATTCAGATTATCTTCTAGAGAAATTCTACGTATTCATTTTCCTAATAAAAAGTATGTGAAAAAAAAGTATGTGAGAGAATTTTTCCCCTATTTCTTTCTAACCATCTTATTTACAGTTAAATTTCATCACATGTAATTACAGAAGAGTTACGGTAATACAAGTTATTCATTATTGTAGTTCTGTGGGATGACTCCTTTTTTATGTGGCTAAATGGAAATACATTGATTTTTATTTAATTTCAGAATGACATAATGCCTCTCTCCAACTCAGTGCCTGAAGATGTGGGAAAAGCTGACCAATTAAAAGATGAAGGTGAGTATTCCATAGAGAAATTACTTATTTCGTAAAACTTTCTGAAACTCTGGAGAAAATGACTTTGTCAATTAAGATTCTGGTTTACACTGCCAAGGCCGGATTGTTGCAAAACCAACATGGTATTTGTGAAACAGAAATAAATGTGATAGGTAGGAAGCCTAGAAACATAGTATGGCTTGTTAGCAATATAGTTATGCCTTGCTTCAAGAAAAGCAGATCTGTTGTGAATAAAACTTGGAAAACAAATATCCTAAGGGGTGATTACTTATAACTGAATTTGCTAAGTGTACTCTAGGATCCCAAATGCTTTTTTATGCTTAAAGAAGATGAAAATAATTTTCAGTATTATTTTAACTCTCATATAGATTTAGTATTTTCAATTCTTTGAAATTTGTTACCGTGTGTATGTGGCAGTTGACTTAAGTATTACCCAGCACATTTAATTACTGCATTATTATATCTTCTAATAGTGGCTTTTAAAGCATTCTTAGTTTGTTTTTTTTTTTTTAAGATTTATTTATTTATTTATTCATGAGAAACACACAGAGAGAGACACAGACATAGGCAGAGGGAGAAGCAGGTTCCCTATGTCAAGTTTGGCAAACAAGATTTGTACTGAGAAATTGGAGGGCAGGGTTTTGATATTAGCAGTGAATGAGAGCCAGGATATTCCTTGTCCTTTAGGCCGAGAGTTATTAGGGAATATTCTATGTTAAGAAGCTATCCTAACTTGGTTCAGAACCATTTTCCTGGGCTTTTACTTGCACTGAAGAAGGTAGTTTAGTTAAAAAAAAAAAAATGGTGTCTAAAAAGGTAGATATGGAGGAAGTATGCTTTTCCTACTCCTTGGGCCTTATCCTGTCTATTAAATTTATAAATATACACCTATATCATTGTTTTTAATGGCCCCATAGTGTTCCATGGCACTGTAAGACCATGATTTACTTACCTAGACAGGTAATTTTATAATCCTAAGTAAACTCTTAATATCTTTGTCTGCATTTTTACTGTTATGTGATTGTTGTCATAGGATTACATCATAGAATTCTGTATTTCCAACAAATACTGCTTTCGATGTTCAATTTCTTTTTTCCTCTAAGAAATGATACTCCGACAGGGCCTTAAAATTTTAGAATGACAACTTTCATAAATTACATGCAAATTCAGCAACAACTAGGGGTGCCCGAGTGGCTCAGTTGGTTAAGCATCTGCCTTCAGCTCAGGTCATGATCCCAGGGTCCCGGGATTGAGCCCTGCTCAGTGGGGAGTCTTCTTCTCCCTCTCCCTCTCCCTTCCCCCGATTCGTGCTCCCTCAAATAAATAAATAAAATCTTTTTTTAAAAAAAATGACAACCAGGTCCTCGTTGTCTTTGAATCAAGAGTACTTTCCAAAGAATTTGAATTTATATTATCCAGATAGAAATGCATTTTCCATATATTTAGTTTCTAATTGGAACAATTTATTTTTTTATTTTTTATTTTTTTTTTAATTTTTATTTATTTATGATAGTCACACAGAGAGAGAGAGAGAGAGGCAGAGACACAGGCAGAGGGAGAAGCAGGCTCCATGCACCAGGAGCCCGACGTGGGATTCGATCCCGGGTCTCCAGGATCGCGCCCTGGGCCAAAGGCAGGCGCCAAACCACTGCGCCACCCAGGGATCCCTAATTGGAACAATTTAACCTGATGTTTTCTGCCTTGCTCAGAGATTTGTAGTATATGAAGTTACTGAGAATAATATTGAATAGATGGCAAATTGAAATTTTATTTTTGTCCCTCACGTTTATTCCCTCTGCGGGAGATTGTGATCCCCACACGGTTTGCTATGATATGCTCAATGCTGGTAAGATGAGGATTAGGAGGTAATGCTGAGAGTTATTTATTGTTCCAGCCTGGGTAACTGAACTCCTCCTGCTTTTGCTGTTAACTGAAAGCTTTTATTCTTTGTTTTCACTAAGACCTGTCACATTTAAGACATGTAACACACAAAATTAAAGCAACTGTTTTATTTTATTTATTTATTTTATTTTATTTATTTTAGAGACAGAATGTGAGCTGGGAGGAAGTGGGAAGGGAAGAAGGAGAGTCAGAGAATATCAAGCAGGCTCCATACCCAATGCAGAGTCCCACAAGGGGCTCAGTCTTACAACCCTGAGATTGTGACCTGAGCTGAAATCAAGAGTTGGATGCTTAACCAACTGAACCACCCAGGCACCCCAGCAATTGTTTTTACACAGGGTTTGCTATTCCTGTGAAAACTAATGTCCATTGTAGATTGTCAAGCATAACGTTATTCCAGGCTGTGTGTTCCACTTATCTGTGTCAATCAAGGCTTCTAGCCAGCTGGTCCCTTCCTGAAAAGCTGCTTTCAAATATTTTTATGTGTTTTGTTTCTGAAGAGCTGCAGTAAGACCAGACAAAACCAAGATGGTTTCATTTCTGTCATTTTCTGACACATCACAAAAGTATAGGCGTATCTTATAGGTTATCTTGATAATTAAAGGTGACAATTTCATAGGAGACTACCATGTAAGCATAAAGTGCTATAATACATTTCTTCATTCGTGTTCTGAATGTTTGTATGTTAGATATTTTGTGACTTTAGGCTTATTGTTAATATATATAAACGTATATATACATAGAGAATGTAGATATTTGATGGGGTGGTTTACAGGGAGACATACAACAGATTTTAAAATAATAATAATAACAACAACAATCATACTGTATTGCTGGACATTCCATCACAGCTGCTGACTCAGGAAAGGAACATGTGAGCCCAGCTGCTCTGTCCTTCAGAATCTCAAGGGGGCTGGACAATCAAGCACAGCTAGCTACTGGCTGAGTTTGCCAACACTGTCATGATCAAACTCAGATAAACTCTTGCAGGAATAGCCAATAATTCAAGAGAAGAGGGTTTGGAAAAGAAAAAGGAGAAATTTATGTCAGGTACTGGCAGCCGAGGGAGTGGCAGCTCCAGTCTCAACAACCCACCTCTGTGCCCGCGAGGTGGACACCTGGAGTTTTAGGGAGAGGGTCAGCGGGGTACGTGCAAGAGAGCAGCAGGCAGGGAGTGCGTGATCATGGCTGGGGATCAGTGTGTTTTTGGCACGTGATCACGGGCAGGGAAGGGGACCTGTGGGGTGTGGTCCCCTAGTCTTTCCCTTACTATCAGTGCATTTCTGGCCTGGTGGTTGGAATGTGGTGGTCACTGCACAACACCTTCATCATTGCCTCAAAAAAGTGTGGTAAGAAATAAGCACAGTGGATTTTAGTTAGAGCATGAGTTAAGTGGCCATGTCTATTTCTGGTTTTAAGTTTTGGGGTCTATGATGGAGCCAGAGGGCTCCCCAAGAACCCCAAGATGAAAAGGCCCAAGAGCAAAAAGATTCCACATAACCCAGAAAATTAAATCTTTTACACAGGGGAAGCAAACCTATATAAGTACCAGACCTATGTATTTAATATCTTGCTCTGTCATAAAAAACGGTGTAATCGTCTCAGCTTCCTTAGAGGTTTTATAGTCATTACTTTTGGGGGGTGAGGATCTAAATTATAATTTTTTAATTTTAAAAATATAGCTTTATTGAGGGATACTTGGGTGGTGCAATTGGTTGAGGATCCTGCTCTTGGTTTTTGGGCTCATGTCATGATCTCAGGGTCTTGGGATCGAACCCTGCCTTGGGCTCCACGCTCAGTGGAGTCTGCTTGAGATTCTTTTTCCTTCTACCTCTGTCCCTTCACCCACTGGTGCTCTCTCTAAAATAAATAAATAAATCTTAAAAAGAACAAAAATCCTCAGCTTCATTTGAGCTATAATTTGCATACCATTCAATTTATGCCTTTAAAATGTACAAATTCATTGTTTTTTTTTAATTTTTTTGTTTATTTATGATAGTCACACACACACACACACACACAGAGAGAGAGAGAGAGAGGCAGAGACATAGGCAGAGGGAGAAGCAAGCTCCATGCACCGGGAGCCCGACGTGGGATTCGATCCCGGGTCTCCAGGATCGCGCCCTGGGCCAAAGGCAGGCGCTAAACCGCTGCGCCACCCAGGGATCCCCTCATTGGTTTTATAGTATATTCACAGAATTGTATAACCATTACCATAATTACAGAACATTTTTATCATCTAAAAAAGAAACCATGTACCTATTAGTGGTCACTGTTTTGTTTTGTTTTGTTTAGAGAGAGAAAGTGTATGCACATGGGTGAGCAGAAGCGGGGGGAGAGAGAATCCTAAGCAAAGCTCCATCCCACCACCCTGAGATCATGATCCATGATCTGGAAATCCAGAGTTGGATATATCTAACCGACTGAGCCTCTCAGGCGCCTGTCGTGGTCACTCTGTTCATTTCTGACTCTTAATTTGCAGTAACTTTTTGTGTGATTTTTAAAAATTAATTAATTAATTAATTAGAGAGTGGGAGAATGGTGGAGAGGGGCAGAAAGAGAATTTTAAACAAGCTCCACATGGAGCCTGATGCAGGGTCTGGATCTCAATCTCACAACCCTGAGATCACAACCTGAGCCAAAATTAAGAATCAGATTTAACAGACTGAGCTGAGCCTCCCAGTTGCTGCACTTTTGCATGATTTTAGATGCTTTTGTCTACCTGCGTTTCCTTTAATCTTCTTGGTCCTTGCAAAGTACTTTCCTCCTTCTGTTCAGTAGCTAATGATCTATTGAAAGACCAAGCTAATAGGAGAGCTTCTGGTTTAGAGAAAGTTGGAAGGAATAATACAGCCTTTTGTGATGTAAATCCTTCCTCTTAACCCCAGTGTTTTAAATTTTAGATTTTGAACAGTGGTTCTAATCAATGAGCAGGACACTTTTTTCCATTTCATGGAATACAGAAGATGGCCAAAGGAAATCCCTTATTTTGCTGACTAGTTGTTACCCTAGTTAAATTATTTCCAGATGTATCTGTAGATCACCTTCTTGAAAATTAGTACCCTGTGGGCTAGCCCTGGTATCTGAAATTCTGTCTTTCTAGAAACTAATGTCCTACAATCTCCTTTTAAAAATCTCTCTCTGGGGGATCCCTGGGTGGCTCAGCAGTTGAGTGCCAGCCCTTGGCCCAGGGCGTGATCCTGGAGCCCCAGGATCGAGTCCCACATCAGTCTTCCTGCATGGAGCCTGCTTCTCCCTCTGCCTGTGTGTCTCTGCTTCTCTCTCTCTATCTTTCATGAATAAATAAAATCTTTAAAAAAACCTCTCTCTGGAAGTGATAGGACATAAAAATATTTTCTGCCAATAACATATTAACATGATTAATCGTATCAGCTTACACAGCAGAGTTCTGAGAGCTTGGCTATTCAGCAGGTATATGTTTTGACGGGGAAGTAGTGAAACGGGGCGTCCAGACTGAGATGATGATTGTGAAGGATGTTGCATCTGGAATGGGGTGGGCCGCTCTAAAAAGAAAGGAGAGAGATGAAGTTAAGGAAGGTGAAAAGAGATTTTGCCACGAGATTTTCATAATTGTTGCATTTACTCACATTTTGTAGCCTGTATTTTATAAGTGTTAGGTTTTTTATTTTTTTATTTTATTTTTATGATAGTCACAGAGAGAGAGAGGCAGAGACACAGGCAGAGGGAGAAGCAGGCTCCATGCACCGGAAGCCCGACGTGGGACTCGATCCCGGGTCTCCAGGATCGCGCCCTGGGCCAAGGGCAGGCGCCAAACCGCTGCGCCACCCAGGGATCCCAGTGTTAGGTTTTTTTAGTAACTAAATGGAAATGAGACCGCCAAGGCAAGCGAGGGTCCAAGAACAGATTTTATTGCAGGCACCCTCGGGCGAGGTTCCATGACTCACAGGGGAAAGAGAGTAAGTCGGGGAAGTCCCGCCAAGACAAGGTGGTAGGGGGTTTACATAACGTTGTAAGGCAGAACGGTTTCCTATTGGTTGGCTCATATGCAAAGGAAGGATTGCAATCCAACCAGTCAGAACGGCCCTCACTATGCAAAGGAAGGATTGCAGTTCGGCCAGTCAAAGGTGACTTCCTCCTCTGGGGTTTGAAGGGCATTGGGTTCGGTTGGGGAAGTCCAAAGGAGAGGTCTAAGGGTCTGCGTCAAGCTGTCAGCAGGTCATTGGTCCATTGGCGTCCCAGGTGGAGGTAGTGACAGGAACTTCAGCCATTTTGGGGTATCCGCCATCTTGAGGAGTTTCCCTTCCCGCCTGGCCCCAACAATAAGGTATGCAAACATTAATTGACTTTGCATTGTTAAAGTCATTCAAAAACACCATGGCTAAAGGAATATCAATTGTATAGTATGATGGAACATTTATCCCTGAGGTCACTAAAAAATCATGTTGATGGGTCACCTGGCTGGCTCAGTTGGTAGGATATGTGGCTCTTGATCTTGTGGTCATGAGTTCAAGTCCCACGTTGTGGTTGGAGTTTACTTAGAAAAAAAAAAGAAAAATCATCTGGCTGACTTTCGTATTATTGTAGTTTCTATGAGTAAAATTTATCTTTCAGATTTTGTTTTTTGTTATATTGTACTTATTGTACATATTGATTGTTTCAGGCAATAACCACATGAAAGAAGAAAATTATGCTGCTGCCGTGGATTGTTACACACAGGCAATAGAACTGGATCCAAATAATGCAGTTTATTATTGCAACAGGTAACCTAGCACTATTGTGGCAGGTTTACAGTTCTTAAACTGTAATTTGCATTAATAGCTCTGAAGGAGAACTGTAAAATTTATTTTGAAAAATTTGAAAGTTCAGAAAAATATAAAGAAGGAAAATAAAAACCTCATAAAATTACCACTTAGAGCTAATCACTGTTACTAACCTTTAGGCATATTTTGTCTGATGTGAGTGTAATCGATTTCAGATTCATTGTTATTCAGTAGGCATATCATAAACATGTCCTTACTTTGTTGAAACTCTTCATAAACATTATTTAAATGGATACAAATTTGTCTGTTATTACCTCCTGATCTTTTTTATATTTCTAAATATAGTCACTGTGGCTAGCAAAAGGCACTCGCTATTTTTTAATAAGTGGATAAATGTACCTTAATTTATCTTATTTTAGTATTATTATTTTTAATGTACCTTACTTTACATAACTTCTGACCTACTGGCCACCTTGGAGGTTGTTCATTTTTTTTTTTTTTTCAATATGATGAAGCCGCAGGGAACATCTTTGTTTCTCAAATTATTTTCTGAAATTTAGATTTTCTGGACTTTGGATTTATCCTTGGACCTGCTTTCATTTGGTTTAACAATGTAAACAGTTAACATACTGTCGATGCTAATTGCAAAATTGTTCAGACTTCTTTGAAAATTGATTTCCTTCCCTAGGTGTGTATGAGCATATCTGTTTTTGCCATATTCTTTTCAGTACTAAGTAATTGAGTTTTTATTTATTATTGTTAATTTAATATTTTTATTTTAATAGTAATTCTTCTAATTTATATTTAATTACTGGCAAGGTCGAACATTTTTCAAATGTTGGCCGTTCGGGGTGTTTTTTTTTTTTTTTAATTGTCTTTTTGTATTTTTGCCAGGTATATATTATCCCTGTCCTCCCCTTTTTTAACAGGGAGCCTAACCCTGATAGGTTGCATTTCCCCAGGCTCCTTTGTCACTTGGGTTTTGTCTTGGTTCAGCCACAGGAGGTGCTGGCAGGAGATTGGAGGGCAGAGGAGGAGAGAAGTCGTGGTATTTCTTCCCTTCTTTACAACAGGGTGTTTATCCAGCAGGGGCTGCTTCCCATCTTTGTCTCTATCTCCCACCCAAGACAACTGCTGTGGTCCCAGCTTTTGCCAGGTGATGTTGGGTGTTGGACTGCACTTTGTCCTCTGTCTTAGGGATGGTGATGGCTTCCTGTTGTTCCTCATCTCTGGATTGCTGCACAACCCCCTACTTGGCATCTCAGCTCTCCGATCAACTATATAATGAATTCCCTGAACTAAATTAATCTATTTTATATATTAAATTTCCAGTAGTACTTTCTGCAGTGATGGAACTCTTCTGTGTCTGCATTGTTCAATACAGTAGCCACTAGCCCAAGTGGCAATTGACCACTTGAAATGTGCCTAGTACAATTGAGAAAGTAAATTTTTAGTGTTTTATTGATTGAAGATCAATTTAAATTAATTTGAATTTTAGTGGCCACATGTTGCTTGTGGCTACTGTTCTGTACAACATAGCTGTATATTGAAGATATAATCCATTAGTCCTAATAGCACAGCTTACTGTTTGCCTTTTAATATTTTTCATAAGTAAAAGTTGTAAATATTGATGTAGACAAGTTTATTTTTCCTTTCTTTTGAAGTCCATTCCAGTGTTTTTAATCTTAAACCTCTCCCCATTTGCAGACTAGGCAAATAACTTCTCTTATTTTTTCTTCACATTTAAATTTTATTACTGCAAGTGTGTTTTGGTGAATGATAGCTATTTTAACCAATCTGAAACTTTTTATGAAAGAAATATATAAAAATAACCTTTTATTATATAGTAAGTTCTTAGATTTAGAAGATATCTTTAAGTTAATTTGATCTAATCTTTCACTGAGTTATCCTTATCTTGTTTAGAATATTCATACCCTTCTAAGGTAGTCCCTTCTCCCCCATCTTTTCTTCTGTGGTCCTATCTGTTGAAAAAGCCTTCCTTGTGTTGACACTGAATTTGTTTTCCCGAAACCCTCGTAGCTAATCTTAGTTGGCAGTTTGTATTTTTACTCTTAAGGACAATTACAGAACAATTATGATCTTTGTTTTTCATAATAGTACCTTACATTTTGAAGCTTGCTACCAAATTCACTTGAGTCCTTTTCTCCGTATTATCTGTGCAGCTTCTTCAGTTATACTGCAGATAATAGTTTTATTTTCTGCACTGTTGCTCTAAACTTGTTCCAGTTTACCTGTATGTGTAGTTCCCAGGAATTTACACAGTGTTTCTGGAATTGGTCTGACCACAACAGTCTTATAGGGCTCTCATTTAACCTACTAGATAACATACTTCTATGTTAGCATTTTGTAGAATTATTTATTAATTTCATGTTTTACTTTTGGCTTATTAAAGTGTCTCTTCTTCACACATTCTCCTTATTTTGTCATTCGATCATATTTTCATTTGACAGCTTCTTGCAAAACACTTGCTGCATTACCAGTGCTGTCCCTGGAGGTATAGTTGGTGGTCTATACTCAAATGCGGGATCTTATATTTTATCCCCACAGAATTTTATCTTGTAACAGTCTCTTATGTGTATGACCCTTAATCTTTTTGGATAATTGGTAAAGTAACGTATTTGCTTTTGCTCCTAGTTTCATGTCATCTACAAATTTAAGCATATATTATGTCAGTTATGATGTCAACTAAGAGACCAATCATAGGGAAGTGGTTAAGAGCAAGGGTTCTGACTCAGAGTCTTTGAATTATAATTTCTGGTTGTGGCGTTTACTAGGTATGTGACCTTGAGCAAGTTACCTAACATATGTATGCCTTGGTTTCCCCATTAGTAAAATGTGGATAATAGAATTTACCCTAGAGGACTGCTGTAGAGATTAAATAGTTAATACATAAACAGTGCTAGGAAGCGGTCTCCTAAGTGTTGCACACAACAATATTATTATTGTATAATATTGCATAATTGTATGTTACAATGATAAAATTATTATTTAAATATTGTATTAACTAAATATTATATCATTAATTCTATGTTATATATTTAATGTCATTTATGCAATCTGGTGTGGGTTTTTTTTTTTTTTTTTACTTTGATCAGAATATGAAGAGAGATCCAAATTTATCAGGGTCCAAATATTTTGCCATTTGTCTTTCTCTGATTTGCTAGTCTGGTAGCAAGACTGTTAAACTAAAACAGGAAATGACGTTAGATGGGAATTGTTCTGAATTAATCTAGTGTCATTTATCTTCTTTTGGCAGAGAGGTCTTTTACATTTTTATGAAAAATTTTGAAGTCGAAAAGAAGTTTACAGTAAATACTCTTATAATCATCCACATCAAGATTTTGCCTTTAATATTTTAGTATATTTACTATGTCACATGTTTCATCCATTTGAACCCCTTTGTTCGTTAGTCTATCTTATTTTTGCATTTCAAGGTAAATTGCAGCCACCTGTACACTTTCCCCCTAACTACTTTATCATGCGTGTCATTAATCTAGTTCAATATTTTGCATTTTTTTCTTTTGAGGTACAACTTGCAAGTAATAAAGTACACAAATCTCAACTGTACTTTGCCATAATTTTGACAAATGCATACATACACTTGTGTAACTCCCAACCCCCCCACCAAGATACTGAAAATTCTGCACGCCCCTTCAGCATCAGTTGCCTAAAACACCAGGGGCAACCACTGTTTTATTTCCCTACTATAGATTAGATTTGTTTTTTGTGATTCCGCGTAAAAGGAATCATCCCGTATGTATTTTTTTGTGAGAGACTGTTTTTGCTCAGGTTAATGGTTGCGAGATTCACCCTGTTGTTGCTTATCTCAGTGGTTCTTGCTTTTAATTGCTCACTTATACTTTTGTTTGAATATACCACAGTTCGCTAAGCCATTTTCCTATTTATGGCCACCTGGGCTGCTTTTGGCTTTTGTTTTGTATTTTGTCCAGAATTTATCGTTGTTATTTGTGGAAGAGTTGGATCCATAAGGAAGCTAGCTGTCCATCCTAGAAATCTTTTTTTTTTTTTTACCAAAAAATCCCTTTACTGATGTGTTCTAAAAATCTACCCCAGGAAAATTAAAAATCCAAATAATTGTTGGAAAATGAATTCTGCAAGCTGTATATTTTATTCTCTGTCATCAGATGACTATATAATGTTTTAATTTAGCTTTTGAAACAAAAACATTTAATAGTGTCACAAAATGTTATGGCCAGATATAGGTGTTATCAGAAAATTGCTTGTTAATAGACCACAGTAAGCCATACAGTTTAACTATGACTATGGTAAATTGGAGCCTAAGTAAATCATTTATTTCAAATGAGATTAGGGTTCATGAATCGTCGTCCTATGTTTACAAGTACTGGATTAAAAGAGATTCTTGGCAATACCTGTGCTTGCTTTTCATTTAATTATTGTTAAATCAAAACCAATGATCATGCTTATCTTTTCATTTAAATTGTATCTTTTTTTTCCCTGAGGAGTTCAGTAATAGAACAAGCAATTTAATATTAAATAATTAGAAGACTTTATTTGTATATTTAATACAAATATTGAAAAAAGGTTCAGAAAAATTTTATTAGACCCTAGCAGTCATAAATATCTCAGTAGCCTATAGTCTTGCCAACTACCCCTGCATTTTTCTTAGCCAGCTGGCTGCCAAGAATTGGAAACTTGGAATAGTAGATTAAATCTTCCTTTTGATACACATTTTCGCAGTTTTATTACTAATCAAAATATTCATATATTAAACTTGCTAGGATGAACTATAGTTTTCTTTTTATAGGAGTACTGTTCTTATATGTTAGAAAATAATTATTTGGCACATTTCTTAATCAAGCCTTTCTTTTCTAGTATTTATCTTCTGTTTTAGCCTTTTAGATTCCTAGGGACGCTTTAGTTTCGACTTAGGTACCAGGAAAACCCTAGTTCTTCCCTGAAAATCTTTTATCAAAGATTTTTATCAAAATCAAAACTAA